AGAATGTTGTATGACAGACAAGGCAGGTATTATTAGTCTAATTTTACAATTCAGTCACTCACTCACTTATTTGTTCAAACATTTATTAAGTACTTTTTCTGGACCAGGCACGGTGCAAGGTGCTGGGATATAACAATGAGTAAGACAAGGTCCCTCAAGGAGCTCACAGTCTAATGGTAAACTGCAGAGTAAACTACAGCACAGAGTGGTAAATGGCTTACCCAAAGAGGGAGAAATAAGTATGTGGAAACGTGGGACAAGAGCTAGAGAAAGGTCAGGGTACAATTTGTGGTAAAGTAAAACACCTCTGAGAAAAGAACAGAAACATATTACACAAATATGGTTGCAAAAACCTTAACCACCTCCATATGAGCGTCAAATATAGTCGATAGCCACAGATGAACATGCACAGCGACTTATATGTCATGCACAGCCGTGATATGACTTTTCTAATTTTTCACTTATCAAAATAAAATTGTGAACATTTAAAAATAACGTAATGAAAACATATATGTATATGTAACCTATTCTGATTTACATTACAAGTAAAGCTGCCTGTAAAGTAAAACAAGCTTTCAGTGCTTTAAAGCTTTCCTCATCACACAAGAGCAAAATGGATTCGTCATCAATGCATAGCACAAACTACCCCGTGCGGACTATGAGTGCCGGCTGTGGGCAAGGTTTCTCGGCCAGTGAGCACTGTACCGAAGTGGTTAAAATAGTTCCCAATTTTCACCATGACTAAATTCATGTCTTACAATGAATTACACTATTATCTGGTGGCATTTCTATACTTGCCTCCAGAGCCTTGGGACATGCCACCAATCTGCTGAGACACACAACTCTGTAGACAGCTTGAAATCAAGATGTATCCAATATCAATCTGAGCATTGAGAACCATATTAAAATGCTTTAATTAAATCCATGAATGTAAATGTATAGCACATTTATGATACTTATACATGTAGAAGTTTGGAAAAACTCTTCTCTAAGCCTCCCTCATCCAGAGGATTCTAGTAAATTACAGATACCCAGGAAGTTAGACAATTTGTCACTTTCTATATATACATTATTTTGGTTGAACCAGGATGAAAAGTGTAACTTAGACATATTTCATAAGAACTCTAAACATTACAAAGATATATATATATACAAAGACATCACATTTAGATTCATGTGTACACCTAACCAATGTACAACAGTTAACTGCAAACATGACCAGTGTAAGACAATTTGTTTTGTGATATTTAATCCTTGAAAGAAAGGGTAGAGTTCATGAAGAACTACCCATCTCAGGCCTGACCATCTGTTTCTATAATACTCTTTGTGATGAAGTTATTTCAGGTGTCAAGATGTCTATTTAACTGACAAAAAGCAGTGAATAATTACAAAAAGTTATTTTCAAATGTGGAAACCATAGTTATCTAAGTAGTGAACATCTCAAATATACTACCTGTATTAATGCCACTGCTGAGGGAGGAGAACACTGCAGACATGAGTTATTGCCGTTAGAGTCACTGATGCATAATCCACCCACATAGGATGTTCCCCCCCAAAAGTCAATACATGCATTCTTAAATGCTATCAGTTACTCATTTCAAGCAATTCTTCACTTTGCTGAGGATTTTCTTCTTCCTCGGGGCATTCTGGATGTCTTCTCTCAGATTAGGAGGTGATGGCTTCAGACCTATTGTGACTTGCGTGCTCCTCTTCCAACTGACACAAGTAGACATCAACAGGTCCGCCGGTGCTCTTTATATACAGCGTGGTAGATTCTTCGCTGGGAGCTGGAACATCCAATCTGGTTTCTTGTGGAGCTTTAACTACCATAACCGTCTGTTCCTGGAATGCCTCAATGCTATGAATATCTTGATATGTTACATAGGCTAGCCTTGCATTTTCATTGTCATCTGTTAACTCAAACAACTGCTGACCACAATCCTTAATTAACTCATCCAAAGCATCTTCCATTGCTGATAAGTCAGAAAGTTCCTCCTGTAGCTTCTTTTCTTGTTTTCTGTCTTCGGCATCCAAATTGTTAAGATCAGCTCCTATCCACCGAACAAAGTTCTTAGATTTTTTTTCAATGAGGTCAATTCCATCTAAGACATTGGTGATATCATATACTCTTCGTTTTCGTACTCCCAGTTCTGCCGCAACCTTGTTTAAGTCAAGAACACCATCAGGAGCAGATTTGACAAGATCCATAAATTTTCTAGTTAAATAAACCAGTGATACATCAAAACGAGGTCTCTTCACTTTTAGAGCTTTTCTCGTGGACGCATCATCTTCTAAATTAACGCTTACTTTTGATGTCTTCGGGCTCTCCGCGTTGATGGGGTCCTGGGACGGGCGGTGCACCGTCTCCTCTGCCAGGCCCACGACAGGGCTGGACGATTTCCTGGTAGGCTGTTGCTGACTCATGATGCCAAGCCTGGTGACCCGCGAACCTCGCACTCCACAAGCTCTCCCGCCTTCTCTCGCACTCTACGAGCTCTCCTACCTTCTCTCTTACGGCTCAAGTACTTTCCTCAACACCCCAAATTCCCGGAGCCCAGCAGAAAGCAGGTTCCTGGCCTAGCTGGAGGTGCCACCACACGAGGCTAACGCTCCCAACGCGGAAGAGAGGGGAACAGAGCGACCTACGGCTTTCAGAACGCCAGGCCCGCCATCTTCACGCATGCGCAGTGACCCTACCAAATCTTATTGGTTGGGAAACTGTAGAAGTTAACGTAAATCCCAGGATTCGTATACGTTATTCATTAAATACTTTAATATTTACTTCTCCTAAAGACTTAAAAAATATAACTACTATACTATTTTGACAGAAAAAGCTAAAAATAATTCCTTAATAATATCATCTTTATCATATTCAATTTTCTTGATTATCTCAAAAAATACCTTTTTAAGACTGGCTTGTTAAAATAAATATCTGAAAAAGAACAAAACATTGCACTCGGTAGATGTGACACTTAAGTATTTTCAGAAATAAAACAAAGAACCTGGCACAGTGGTTCATGCCTGTAATCCCAGCTACTCGGAAGGCTGAGGTGGGAAGCTCGCTTGAACGCAAGAATTTGAGACCAGACTGGGCAGTATAGCAAGACCCCATATCTAAAAATAAATAAATAAAATAAGTAAAAGAAAAAATGCTATTGAGGCATGATTGGTATTTAGTAATGACATAATTAAAATGTACAATTTGATGAAATTTAATACATGGATATACCTGTAAAAATGTCACCACAATCAAGATAATGACCATATCCACGACTCCCAAACGTTTCCTTCTGCTCCTTTGTTATCTCTCCCCTGCATTATTTTCTCCTCTGTCCCCCACTCATTAATTTGCTTTTCATTATTATACATTAATTTTTATTTTGTGTAATTTTATATAAGGAGTCATGCAGCATATACTCTTTTTTAGCTACTTCATTTTTAAGTTGGCATAATTATTTTGTGATTCATCCATGTTGTTACAAAAATAGTATAGAGGGTTTCTGTGTAGTTTTTCCCCATTTTCCACAGTGATATCATCTTACATAAGTATAGTATATTATCCCCCTGGAAATTGACATTGAAACAAAACTCTTTACTCACATACACAATTAATTTGGAGTTCATCAGTGTTCACAGGCACTTTGTGTGTTTGTATATGTATATTCTTTTTTTAAAAAAAAATGCAGGGTCTCACTCTGTCACCCAGGCTGGCCTTGATCTCCTGGAATCAAATGGATGCTCCCACCTCAGCCTCCCAAGTATCTGGGACTACAGATGTGTGCCATTCCACCCAGCTATGTTCATATCTTTTGAATTAATTTGTCATACATTCATTGTATTATGTCTGACCATGGATTAGAGTGATTTTCTTGTGATAATTCTTTTGAAGTCCTCTATTTTGTGATTAATATCCTATACTTTATTTTTAACTGCTTTATTGAGGTATAATTAATATTTTTAAAAACTGCATATATTTAATGTGTACAATTTGATGAGTTCAAACATTTGCAAGCACCTATGACATCATTATAATCATAGTATAGATATATCCAACACTCCCAAAGATTCCTTATGTCTCTTTGTTTTTGTTTTTATATGTGGTAAGAACACTTAACATAAGATCTACCTCAACAAATTTTGAATGGCACAGTACTATACTGTTAACTGTAGGCACCATTTTGTATAGAAAGACTCTAGAATTTATTCATCTTGCATAACTGAAACATTATATCCATTGAACAACTCCTCATTTCTCCAACCCTCCAAGTTGTATGTATTCAAAGTTGTATATATTCAATAATCAGGAGTTACTATTGAATAGTATTTCATTGTATTGGTATATTAAAATTTATTTATCCATTCAACTATTGGTAGACATTTGGACTGTTTTCAATGTGGAACTCTTACAAATAAAGCTGCCATGAATATTTGTGTATATGCCTTTGCATAGGTATATAAGTTTTAATTTTCTAAATGGCTGGCTCATAGAGTACGTGCATGTTCAACTTTTTAAGATAATTACAAACTGCTTTTCCAAGTGGTTGTACCATGTTACATACCTACCAGTAATATAGGTATTTGGAATACATATTTCAAAACTCTGGGATATCAGAGTTCAAGTTTCTTCACATCCCAGCGATGTGTGTTCACAGAGAAAAGTCCATGTGAGGACACAAGAAGGTGGCCATTTGCAAGCCAAAGAATGAAGTCACAGACTAAATAAAACCTACTGTCATTTTGATCTTGGATTTCCAGCTTACCGAACTGTGAGACAATAAATATCTGTTGTTTAAGTCACCCAGTCTGTGGTATTTTGTTATGGCAGCCCCAGAAAACTAATAAAGTAGGATTTTTTAAAAATTTAATCATTCTAATTAGGTATGTAGTCTTATCTCATTTCCATTTCCCTAAGGTAATAGGAAATTTTATCTAATAATGCCAGCAACAAGAAGAATTTTGTCATCCTCTCTCATACTAAACTCTCTTTAATTTTCCCGTAGGACAACCCTAGAACAGATCCCATTAATTTTAATAAGACTTCATTCAAAGCCAGGGGAAATGCTCTTGTGGGAAGCCAAAATATGCCACCCTAAAGTATGAAGGACTATTGAGTTGAAGACAATTAAGAAGAAACAAATGTAATAAAGTACTGTTCTCACCTCTATTTTCCTAAAAGTGGGACATATATTTACAAAGACAAAGATATCCTGTCCATCCTTTTTACCAGAAAGAAGAAGAGCTAACAATTGAAGATAACTTTGTACCCTTATTGATCTGGAGATAGTACCAGAAAAATCTACATGAATAAACTTTATTAACAAGCCTCTATCTGCCATTATTTGTCTTTCTCCAAGTTACCACCCCCAGAGATATGAAGTCTTTTTCCTTTGCCTTGTCGTTTCTCTAAAAATTTACTGCTCTTTCTTGAAGATGCTACATAAGCTGAATTCAAATCCACCTCTTTGAGAGCTATTTATTTTCTGAATGTCTCCCACATATATATATATGAAATATACATGTTAATAAACTTCTGTTTGTTTTTCTCTTGTTAATCTGTTTTTTTGTTATAGGGGTCCATTCAGGGTTGAGGAAAAAATTATTTTTCTTCGCCCTACACTTATGACTAAAGTGGTGTGTAAACCCTCCTTGGTAATATCATTCCATTGGGGCATTAATTTGATGGTCTTTCCTGCCTCCTAACTATAGAAATGTATTATACTTTACTCATATTTTATGAAAACATCACTAAGTCTTCAGAAATGCAGCGATTTCAACAATACTTTAAAATATTTTTTAAAATTCTGATTTATACATCCAATGAAGAGCTAATAACCAGAATCTATAAAGAACTCAAGTACAACAACAGTAAAAAAATCAAAATCAAACAATCCTATTAAAAAGGGGGAAAGGACATGAACAGAAACTTTTCAAAGGAAAATAGACGAATGGCCAATAAACATATGAAACAATGCCCAACATCTCTAATTATCAGGGAAATGCAAGTCAAAACCACAATGAGATATCACTTAACTCCAGTGAGCATGGCTTTTATCAAAAAGTCCCAAAACAACAAATGCTGGCATGAATGCATAGAGAAAGGAACACTTACACATTGGTAGTTCGACTGCAAATCAGTACAACCTCTTTAGAAAGCAGTAAGGAAATACTTTGAAAAACTAAAAGTAGACCTACCACATTTGATCCAGTAATCCCACTATTGGTCATTTACTCAAAGGAAAAAAAAAATCATTTCATAAAAAACAAAACAAACAAACAAAAAGGACTTGCACTACAATGTTTATGGCAGTACAATTCACACTTGCAAAGATGTAGAATCGACCCAAGTGCCCATCAATACCTGAGTGGATTAATAAAATGTGGCAATTGTATACCATGAAGTATTATTCAACCATAAAAAAGGACGAACTAATAAATTTTGTAACAATCTGAATGGAACTGGAGACCATTCTTCTAAGTGAAGTATTATAAGAATGGAAAAACAAACACCACAGGTACTCACTATTAAACTGGAACTAATTGACCAACACTTATGCGCACATGTGGAAGTAAATCTCAAAGGAAATCAAGCAGATAGGGGAGGGATGGGTTGGATAAATCCACACCTAATGGGTACAGTGCACATTGTCTGGGTGATGGGCACACTTTTAACATTAACTCAAAGTGTACAAAAGCAAGACATGTAACCAAAACATTTGTACCCCTGTAATATTCTGAAATAAATAAATAAAATATTAAAAGAGAAAAAACTAAAAATTCTAATTTCTGATGGGAAAAATCAGAGAAGACATATATTCTAAATAGTCTAGGAAGATCATTATCTTATTTTGTGGTATTCTATTTTCTTTGTCATTGGGCTTGAGAAGGAAAATAAGAAGTGAAAGAATATTTTAAAGGAAAGCAACCCTCAAGTTCATCTCAGTATAAAATTGACTGTTAGAAAAATAAAAATAGTTCTGAAATTTTCACTTTTTTTTGGTTCAGAAATATATGCTATGCATATTATAAATGCAAATGAGGCAACAAATACATTCACAAGGCACTAGTCTATATTTATGCCTTTTCTTATATAAAAATTTGGCCAATTTATGATAAATCTTTCCAGCACGCCAAATGAAGCAGGGATATTTAAGATTTTCTCAAATGTTTTAGAATCGTAGTAACCTAACACAAATCTCATCAGAGAACAATTAGGAACACACAAAAAGTTCATAGTTCATATGTAATTTCAATGTTAAGTGAAAATATTAATTCTAATTCTCTCTGAAATATTCAAATATAGGTACCCAACATTGTGAGATTGTCTACTGTTAATAATAGTAAATCTTCTTTTAGTGAACATATTTAAAATGACATTTGTAGGAAAAGATTGTTTACATCAAATACCTTTTCAAGTGATAGTTTTTAAATGTTTCCTTTCTGCTTCAATGCTTATGATTAATGAACATAGAAAGCTGTGTTGATAGTTGAGTTTATAATCCCATGAGTGAATTGAAGGTTGCTACTAACAGAGCAAAATAACCAAAATTAAAAAAAAAAAAAAAAGGAACGGCATAAAAATTTCATGCTGCTTTTCCTTCTGGGAAGTGAGAACTGATGAGCAAAAAGTAATCATAATTAATAAAGCGGCCTCACAGGAATCACTTGCAGCAATATCTTCATGACATAAAGCAGTCAGTTCATGAAAAAATAAACAAACAAATGAACATTGATGGAGGGCCTACTGTATGCAAAGGAAATATTTTCAATTTCTTCTCTGCTTCACAAAAGAGGAGCCTCTTTTGTTTCATGAGTTAGCCCTATTCAGTCTTAGAGAAAAGTAAAATAGCATTATATTAATAATAATAATATCATAATAATAGTAATTTTTATAGACTCTATCATGAGCCATATAAATTTGTTAAGTACTTTGTGTACATGACCTTACTTGATTCTCACAACCTCTCTCTGAGTTAAATGCTATTTATTTTTCCACTTTGTGGTTCAGGAAAATAACATTCATAGTGGTCAATTTACTTACTAAGATCACACACAACTAAAAAGTCATACAGCTGAGATTCTTCCTGAGGATTTTTGACTCCAGATTCTGAACTCTTAATTGCTCTCCTATTCTGCTTCCAGCCACCCTAGAATAAATTGTGATTATACACCACTCCTATAGGCAATAATAATAATCATAATAATAGTGCACCCAGATTCATAAAGCAAACCTTACTAGATCTAAGCAAATGGATTAATAGCAACCCTATAATAACCAGAAATTTCAACACCCCACTGACTGCACAGGACAGATCCTCCAAACAGAAAATTAATAAAGAAATAATGGACTTAAACAGAACTCTAGAACAATTGGGCCTGACTGACATTTACAGGACATTCTACCCCAAATCCACTGATTATACGTTATTCTCATCAGCTCATGGGACACTCTCTAAGATTGACCATATCCTAGGACACAAAGCAAGTCTCAAAACATTTTAAAAAATAGAAATTATACCATGTATCTTCTCAGATCACAGTGGAATAAAAGTAGAAATCAACCCACCACATTTATCAAGAGGTTATTATGTGGACAAATGCTTACAAATAGGAAATGAAAGAGCTGGTATTTAAATCCATGTCATTTTTCTCCTGTGACTGTGGTCATAATCACTGTATTACATTTATTCTTATGTCAGATGGAGGTTAAGTGTATTTGTCAAGATTCTCCCAAATAATTTGGAGACAGCAAGGACTGGAATTCAAACCTAAGTGGTGATAAAGACTTTCTCTTTAACCAAAGTTTAGTCATGCTCCTCTGAACCCTCATCTTGACTAGGTTCCATCCTTGCCAGACCTGCATAACCCAGTTTTAGCAAGAATTCTGTTAAGTCAGTTTAGAGATGTTAAAAGACAAATTTAGGCACATTAACATTTTAAAGAGTTTATTTGAACAAACAGTGATTCATGAATTGAACAATGGCAGACTACAAGTGGTTCAGGGCACCACTGAGAAGCTACAAGAGGAAAATGTTTATGTTTGTGGAGGCAAGACAAAGTGGTTTCTGATTGGTTAAGCTTAAGTTTTGTTTTACTGTTTACATTGAGGTCAATGTTAGTTTGGTTACATAGGGCTCAAGCTGGAGCCCTCTCAGCCTAATGGCCTCTTAATTATTTTAACAAAGAGAATTCCTGATCACCTTGATATCTGCATCAGATTCTTTATGCTCCACCATTTCCCAGGTGACATCTCATAACCCTGGCCTACCTTTAGCAGGAATCACATGAAGTCAGTTCAGCCAGGATCTGCCCTTACTCCTGATGTTTTCTCTTAGTAAATTTTCATCCACTGACCCCCACCATACTCCCTAGCAGTAAACCACACTTTTCCTTGTTATATTTGAAATTGAGGACTCTTTGCTCCTATTGCAATAGGTATTACATAAAATTTATTTTGACTGCTTTATTATGCAGTTCCAGTTATTTTTCAACAGTGGTTTCTATGCTCTTCAAAATTATACCCCATTGAATATGTTTAAACATGAGCAGAAATCTGAGTGAATCTGATAACTCTGAAGTCATTCCACAGCTTAAGCTAAAATACTCATACCCTCCTCCCCATAAAACTGAATGTGTATTTAACTGGAAATGTATTCAAATATCTTGTTCACTTGATGAATCATAGATGATACATTTTAAATATTTAAATTTATTTTTAAATTAAAAACTATAATCCCAACATTATAAATTGATAATGGGAGAAGAAGAAGCAGAACAGTGGAATAAAAGGAACGTTAAGATATTAACTACACAGGACTCTGCAAACAGATCTACCTATGCTAATGTTAACATTACCTGAAGATTTTCCTAGCCACATTTCAGAAGTATTTACTTAGAGAGATGAAATTATTTTCTCTTCCTCCTGTACCTAAATATTTTTGCATCTGAACCAAGCTAGAGGTATTACAGTACAGAATCTAATATTAAATAATTAATAAGATAAAATTTATTTTTCTAGTTTTGATAAGATAACCTACTATGCATGCCAATTACTTCATCTTAAAATTTATGAGATACTTTCTCAAGGTGGGCAGAAACTCAAATTTTGTAGCCTAGATAAATGCCTGGCATACAGTAAACATTCAATAAATATAAATTAGCTGAAAGGATCTATTTATTTTCTGGTTTCAGAAAAACCCGAAAAAGAAACAAAAAAGGGCAAAAATCCTATCCATTCAGTAATTAAATAAAAAAAAGATGTTTAATCATGCTGGAATAGGAAATGAGTGTAATTGAATAATATTTTTGAAGCTGTGGAATCCTACAAAGAAACTACCAT